TGGACTTGGTTTACCCTTATTGTAAAACTTCAATAAGGAAGAGGCAACTGATATTAATTTTGATTTGAGTTAGTTGTCACATTTTGTCTTGACTTAAGACATTTTCAGAATAATTTGAAATTGTTTACAGTAATATATGAATGTCATATATAAAAAAAACTATACTGGAATAAAAAGACGACATATTTTACAAAATTTTAAAGCTAATTAGCTTCTCTGAGCGATGAGAGAAGGATTCAGTTTGTAAACTAAATAAACTTTCATAAATCAGAAAAAACTGGAATTGGGCAAACCAGATATGGTGGGGTTAGAGGATTTTCTTGAAGTGGATGAGACTACAAAATGTAATTAGTGTCTGTTGTGTGAACGTTTGGTTTGACTCACATAAGTGTACGTTTTCACTTTGTAAATCATTAGTTGTAATAATCATATGAGCGATACTGGAGGTAATACTTCCTTTAAGGCAATCATGCAAAGTATAACAAATATGATTTATTTTGAGAGTTTGTTTTCCTCCAACATGTCAGTCGTTGTACTTTAAAATCTCTAACTTTCAGAGGAATAATCTCGCTTACGATTATGCTATCATTGTGATATCATAATCATGATTATGGAGATATGATGATGATGGTGCTGTGATATTTAGGAGCCTTTTACCATGTATTTTAAACCTTCAATTCTTTGAAATTGCATAAAGTTTCAAGAGCAGGGAGATTGGACACTAATGTATATATTTTTTAGTTGTAACTATAACTCCCTAATTTTAATTGGAAAAAAAGCAGGCCCAAGGAATTCTGTTAACAAAAATTACGTAATAATTTATTTAAATAAAATATAGTTGTGTGAGACACAGTTATTTATTGTAACTTTGCATTTTAACTGTGCAATTTCAAAAGAGCAAAGCAGCAAATTATGATGAGTATTTTTAACAGCCAATATAGCTCTAACAACATATTAACCATTGCTTTTTCCAAAAAAATTATGGTTACAATTTTTTGAATCATATAATGACCACAAATGAGCTGTGAGCTCACGAAGAAATTTAACTGTGTCATTTTGGGCTAGCCCGCCTCTGACCATATGCTGCAAAGTTTATGTAAATATTATTATTTTCAGAAGAATGAAGTAGACGTTACATATCATAATTTTACCATCTTGGAAAGACGTTTTTCATGGAAGATGATGTTCATGAAGATATTGGTGACAGTAAAGTCTTATTTTATACATTGTAACATAGATTAGGTATTATAATGGATACTACATTTTTAATTGTCTTTTTTCATAACTTGAATTTACAAGATGTCCGTTTTCAGATTATGTAAGTTTTATTTCACACCGAAACAAGTTTGCACTGTCGTATTTTTTTGTGCTTAAATTCAATCCTTTAACAGCAAAAACCTTTATTCGTAAAACAATGTACAACGCAATGAAACACTTACCAAAAAAACCATCGTTTTTATTGTCTCTAAAAAACCATCGCTTAAACGGTCTTTCGTTTTATATAACAAATCCATTACTTTATCTTAAGAAAACAAATGTCGCTGACTCGATTCCCGGTGGTATGGTTATCATAGGATGTAAAGCTCAGTGAAGTATAATATCAACTGGAATGATAACTTCGCCGCCTTCATTGAGTTCTATAATAACTAAAGCGGCTAAGTGGACTGGGAACTGACGCCAAATAAATGGCGGCAAATGGACCTATATCCGCTGAAATGATCGCTTTGCAGAAATATTATACTCTCAACCTCCCACTGATGTCCAAAAAAAAGGAACATGTCGCTTTCACAGGTGAGACATTTGTTGTGTTTGTTCATCAAAAATTGAATTTCAATTGAACATGAAGCAGGAGCGATAAAATCCGACCGATTTTTTCATGTTCTTGTTTTTAAATATTAACATAATTTTCCACTTAGTTGTTAATGTGTGAAATCGTAAATCTGTTTGCAAAATAGTAGTTTCCCTGACGCGCAAAAAGATTCTGCTCTTTTTACTTAGTGGGCAGAAACGATCACCCCCAAAGAGAACCCGTGTAGTAGAGCAGAGTTTCTTCTGATCAATTCGCTGACAACACGAAGAGATGATTGGATAGCAAAATGTTTTTGGAAAATGCTGCACTACCACTATTTCATAGATCACTATATTTAGACAATTGAATCATGCTATTGACCAGACAGAGTCTAACTGCAAATGCTAAGGTTGAATACAAACAAAGGTAACTGATTTACCAACTTCTTGTCCAACAGTTACTTCAACTTGGACTAATTCTATGGATGGAGATAATGGATTTAGTAAAGATGCCTCGAATGCTTTGAAAGTAAAGGTCAAGTACCAAATAAAGATAACAAGGTACTTTGTGTCTTGATGTTTGATGAAATGTCATGTAAATACAGGTAGTTCAGTTTAATAACTTTATAATTTCTGAAAGCTGTTAAGCTTCTAGCTTTAATGAACACCAAGTGTGTTTTATTCATTTGGTTTTAAAAAACACTTGAGAAAAACGACGATTTTTTTGATAGCAAACATGTTTCGACATTATCAGAATGCCATCTTCAGTGCAGAATGGTTAGTGTTAAGTAATATGATACGTAATATGATATGAATAAATTAATTACAATGAATAGGATTATGATTTAGTTACAAAATTATAAAATATTTACAAAAAAGGAAAAGAAAAATAAGTGTTAAGAACTTATAACAAAAAATATTATTATAAAGCAAATATAGTGTTGTAGTGGTGAACTTGGATATTTAAATCGGGATTAGTTTTATTAATGTGTAGAGCTTCGTTGATTTTGAGTGAGAAAGTGGATTGATCAGTGTCGATGATTTTAAAACAGGAAGGTGAGAATTTGTTTTTACATGAAGGAGAGGCTTGAAGATGTTTGTAGATAGTGGAGTTTTTGTCTGTGTGAGTATGTTCCTTTATCCTGGTAGATAATTGGCAAGAAGTTTCACCAATATAGCGGGAATTACATCCCGCACATGAAAATTGATAAACTACCATAGATTTGGAAAGTTCGGGAAGTGGGTCTTTAAACGAAAATAAAGATTTTATTTTAAAAGGTGTGAAAATAAGTTTAACGTCAATGTCAGTGCAGTAGCGTTTAATGATTTGTGTGAGTTTGCGTTGTGTGTGTCGTGAGTAATCACCTATGTAAGGTAGTTTGAAATAACGTTTATTGTCAGGTTGTTGTATATCGTTAGTGTTAGTTGTGGAGTTAGATGAGTCAGTGCTTTTCTTGTTGTCCAAATAGTGTTGTATAGTGTTGTTGATGAAATGAAAAGGAAAAGAATTACGTTGGAGAGTGAATATTAGTTTCTTTAAATCACGTTGAAAGCCGATGTCTGTGTTGTTAAGTTTCCGTGCTCTGTCGGTCAGTGTTCGTATCAGTCCAATTTTGTAATTTAATGGTGTGAAACTAAAAGTTAGTCAGTAGTCCTGTATATGTTGGTTTGTGGTACGTAGAGGTCATACAGTTTTCATGTGATTTAGTTAGTAAGATGTCAAGAAAGGGTAACTGATTGTCTTGTTCGGTTTCGTATGTAAAGTTTATGCTTTGATGTTGTTTGTTGATGTATTCGTAAAAGAGTAATGCTTCGTCTTTGTTATGAAAAATACAAAAAATGTCGTCAACGTATCTGCGGTAAAATAAAGGTTTGTTGTTGCTGTAGTTATTTAACCAGTTTCGTTCGTGAAAACCCATGAAAATGTTGGCTAGAATGGGTGCCAAGGGTGAGCCCATACTTACCCCGTCAATTTGGTCGTAGTACTTACCGTTAAATAAAAATGAGTCTCGGCCGTAGTGATGTTAAACAATAGTTTTAGTTCTGTTCTGTTCATTTTGAATGTAGGGTTGTTGGTAAAATTAAATCAATAGCAATGTCTATGGTTTCGGTCAGTGGTATGTTGGTAAAAAGGTTTCAACGTCAAAAGAAATAAAGAATTTGTCATGTGGAGCGTTAGTGTTAGCAAAAGATAAAAATCACTGACAAAAACTAAAAGATCTCTTAGCAGAATGGTCATTAGGGTA